CCCCAAAACCCCAAAACCCCAAAACCCCGATAGGATTAATAAGATGGTTGAGACAATGAAAAGAGTTTATTCATTGTAAACTACTAATTTATTTAGTTAAATAAAAATGAGTTAAACTCTTCGCAAATTAGACGACCAAAGACGAATGAATATCCACAATGATAAGCTTAAAAATGTTAAATCCACCCTTTCTCAGTACTTTTTCCTTATCATTAACTAACATTAAATAGAGGTGTGTCTAAGAAGACTCCAAAAGGAAACAATTCAATTCAAAATCTCGTACAGAGCAGCTCTAACGGGATTTTGCATTGGACAGGTGGAGTTTAAAGCGCGCTCTAAAACGCACATAATGTTGAGCAACCATAAAAATCCTAGCTATTTCCTTTTAACATCACAAAGTACTAGCAAGCAAATCAGTATCTTGACTCCTAGGCTTACCTCGATTCGTAAACAATAATTCAGGAGAATGAAAGCCAAGAATCAGTGGATATTTATCATAAACCAGTATTTAAACTCCTCAAGGGCTTCAAGTTACAGCAATATGCCATGGTAAGATTAATTGAATTTATGTAGCTCTAACCATTGAATTATAGAAAATGTCAGACTTGGGATATGGGGAAGATATTTACAAATTAGCTTTGATTACTCCTAGATAGAGAGAAGATATTGTTGAAAAATTATAGCCACTTCCAGGGCATAAATAAAAATTAGTAGAGTTCTTCAAAATCATTGAAAATGTATTTAATTTCTGATCTATATTGAAATGAATATAGTTGTTCCCAAAATCTACAGTATCAAAGACTATAGAGAATGCTATTAAGGGTGAGGCAAGCATGTCATTTGAATTAAAGCAAGCTGCAACAAAGTCCTAACAGAACCTTAAATCAGCGAAATCTTAAAGCAGGCAATAGACCAGGAATAAAAACTTATCACCAATTGAGTAGGCAAGGACAAATAATCTTATAGGGAATCACCATCATCCAAATCTTCAAGGTACTATTGAGGAACCATAAAGAAATAGAAGTAACTCGAAAAGGTAAAGATAAAGTAGTAATAGTCTGTTAAGAAGATACAACACTCTTGAGCAAAGTGCGAAATAAGCGATTAAGTAATTCAAAGTTCTTATAAATTCTTTTAGTGAAACATTTCTTTTCAATGTGAAGGCAAGAAGAAACTAAATTACAGTGTAAGATATCTTAAAGGAATACTACAATGGCTCAGATGAAAAGAAGGAAAAGAAAAAGGCCATTAATAAAATATTTCCTCCAAAGCAATTCGGTCTTCACAAAAATTAATCCAGGAAGAATGTATAAGGCATAAAAGATTAAAAGAAGCCAATAATGGCAATCCATAACCCTCATGCTTAACAAAATTAAATTCAGCATCATTAACCAAGCCAAAAAACTATGGATTAGATTTACTAAAAGTATAAAGGATTGAGCAATAAGAGTCTTCTAGAAAGAGCTCAATAGACTGCTGATAGCACAGTCGATGTGATAAAGAAACATAATTTCTAGATTTAAAAACCATTTCCTTCAGTAAACAAGCAGAGAATAACTTCTTAGCCAAGACATTTAACTAAAACTGAGAATAGTATGATAGGATCTGTCGCATCAACTAACCAGCTATAGTTGAATCACAATCCAAATTCATTCAATCTTGAGCAGTTCAAAATCAACTACGAGACTCCAGATAAATAAGGTAAGCCTCCTGCTTAAAGAATAAGAAGTGCTGCTTCATAAAAGAAAAAGAAGAAGACAAGCTAGGAAAAAGTTATTGAGAAGAAGAACTCGAATGAAAAAATAGAGGACTTGAAAAAGAAGACCGACAGAGTGATACAACCTAAACCAAGAATGTCTTTTGGGCAAAAATCTGGAAGCAGAGAGCTTAACAAAGTAAATAAGTCTAGTGAGAAAGTCGAGAAAAAGTAAAAGAGCGTAGAAAGACTGCCTAATATCGATAAAAAATCTAATCATCCATCTAAAAATAGATCCATTGATTACAATAATTCCAGGCCAACTTCATAGAGAATCGGATCAGTAAATTAGAGCTAAGTCTTCAATAATTCAGATAGCACTTAGGAAAATCCTGAAAGTATCACTATTAGTGCTAAGGATGATTACTCCAAGAATTATCATTCCGAAACTACCTAATAAAACAATCCATTCTAAATCAAAGACTTTGACTATAATGAATTACTCAATATGCAAGATTAAAATCAGTTTAGATTTATCAGGCCTCAAGATTGGACTCCTTTAATAGATAAATAAGATAGGACAGATGCAGTTAATTATGGATTCAGTTTTGGGTCGAAGAAAGTTAATATGGGCCCTGCTTTCTTAAATCTAAAAGTCATGTGCAAATGCCTAGCCAAGGCCATAATGAAGCATCTATAATTCTCGAAGGGAAAATATCTATTCTTAGAGGATCTTTAACATTCAAATCAAGACATCGATGTAGAATTTAGTTATAAGTTTAGTAAAAACTTAAAGCTTGGATAAGTCCATAGTCCTAAGTCTAGCTAGGAGGACTCTAAAAGAAGCAATGCTGAAAATTTCAAAGAAATTGAAAGCAATTTGAGAAAATAAATACAGCATACCATCGATCAAGATGACATTGAAGAAGATTTGGAGAGAGATGAAGATGAAGTAAGTCAATCTTAACCTAATACATTGTTTAGTTTGATTTTGAAGAGGAGAAATAAATTGAAAGTATTAGGGGCGAAGAACTTAGAAAGAGCATTCTCTAAAAAGAAGAAGATAGACTTGCTGATTATCTTAAAAAGAAATAAGGTAGCTTATATATTAATTTATCTTTTTTAGAACTCGAATAAAGGCTTAAGGAAAAAGAGAGCAGAATCTAAGAGATCAATGGAGCAATTAAAATCTTTGAAAAATAAAATGATCGTGGGGAATTAGAACAAGTTATGGCTATTTCACCTTCAATTGATGATAATGATGACGATGAGCCATTCAAGCCTATGAAAATGAATAGAGCTGACTTTATAATGGCTTAGGTAGATCTCGACATTATCGAGAGTCATGGAAGCCAAGAGCTCTCTACTTAAAAATTCAAATTCAATAATCAGAAAAATCCTTAACACACTCATGTTGAGAATAGCCTGGGTTCAAATTTCAGTTAGTAAAATAACGTATCATAAAGACTTTAATCACAATATAACGACTCAGGAAAGCCTCCTAAGCCAACAATCAGTAATAAAAAGCCACATGACTCATAGGCATCATTTGAAAGCTAAATGAATGTCCCTCGATTAACAAAAGAGAAAATGAAGGCATTTATAGAAGAATCTATGAAGATTTTCAGTGAGAAATATGATTTTAACAAGGAACGATACGATAACAGAATTAAAATTTCCTTTCCTACAGAATATGAGATCTAAGAATATTGCAAGTACGTAACAGCCAGTAGTAAAATGGAAAATGAAATTCCAATTATTTGCTTGGTTTACTTGGAGAGACTAATTACCAAAACTGGCATTCTACTTACATCTGAAAACTGGAAAAGACTAACTTTGATTGCTCTTTGTATTGGAAGTAAAATTTGGGACGATGACTCTCTAGAAAACGTTCATTTCCCCAAAGTCATGTCTGATGTAAGCCTAAAAATGATAAACTAGCTAGAGCATAACTTTGTGGAATTCCTTGATTATGATCTTGTGGTCAAAGGCAGTGAATATGCTAAATATTACTTTATTCTGAGAACTCTTGCTGACGAACTCAAGAGTGAAACTCCATTGATTTAAAAGACTAAGGCAATGGCTGACAGTGAAATCTAATAATAGCCAGAGTGGAATGAATTTCCATTGAAAGGATTGATCCCTGCAGAAAAGATGATAGAACTCCAAAGAAACTCTGCTAAAGCTGAAATCATGCTCAAAGAGAGGCATGAGAAAGATTAGAGTAGAGGATTTTCTTATCCCTTTGATAAAACCTTCTGAAAATGTATCATTTGATATAAGCAATAAGTTCCAAACCAATAAAACTCCAATTTAGTAATTGATTTTTATAAATCATCTACTTTCACTAATATTTCCTGCTGGGGTTTTGGGGTTTTGGGGTTTTGGGGAGATCGGAAGAGCAC